TTACACTTCAAAATTTGTTTAATTTCTTCTTGAAGGTTCTTGTTTTTGAAGATGGAAACCAGATTTGTGGGTGCCGCCTTTGTGGTTGCGGCTCTATCTTGAGCCTTTGGCGACGTGGATCTGGCACGGACTGGTTGCTTCTTGCTGCCAATTATGGTCGCTGGATGTTTCTCGCTGCCGCTCATAGTTGTTGGCTGGATTTCGTTGCCGCTGGCTTGATCTCGTTGCAATGTCAAAGTTGATCTCATTACAACAAGTAAAAGAAGATAAAATAAAAAAAGGGAAGTTGGAAGCGTGGGTCTGCAGAACGAATGGCCATGATAAAAATTTCATTACAGCAACAATAAAAAATTTCAAGTTGTTGAATTTCTCCAACATCTCAAGTTCCATTTGTTTTCTCTCTCCCAAAAAACTACCAAAAATTCTAACATTTCAAACCCAACTCCATATCTGAAAGAGAGAGAACATCAATCGAAACAGTAAGAGGGAGAAAGGAAAGGAGAGAGAAAAGGAAAAGACTGTACTTGGGACCGAACGGGTTCTCTAGAGAACCCAGACCTGGGTTCTCCAAAGAACACGATGATGGAGAAGAGAGAGGAAAAAAAAAGAGAAGAAGAAAGAAAGAGGAAGAAGTAGTGGTAACGGAGTTAATGTAATTAACGGAAACAATAACGGAAAGAGTTGGGTGTAACTAAAGGGTGTGGAAACATTGGGTAAACATATCATTATCCTTTTCAAAAATGTAGAAACTCAAGAATAAAATTAAGTAGTTCACTAAATTAATTAAGTTTAAAGTTTTGGGTATTTGCTTTAAAATTTTATACCTAATAAGTTGGTAATTTTAATTTTTAATTTTGATTTTAATTGTTAATTTTGATTATTTGAATTTTAAAAACCAAATCAAAAACTTAAAATTACAACCACACTAAATGAAGTCTAAGATCACAAGACTTTGCATCATGAAATTATTATATCTTTATTTGTATAAATATATGAATTATATAATTAACTGAAAATAAACATTAATAATAATATAAATTAAAAAATTTTAGTTCAAAGATTTAAAAATAAATTTTATATATAAGTTAAAGGACTAAATTTTTATTTTTAAAATTGTAAGGGATCCAACCAGTTAACTAGTCATTGTTTTCACTGGTCCGTTCTGGGTCAATTACTTAAACGAGTTTAGATCACAAATTGAACCATTTACATAATCAAATACAGTTAAATCGGTTGAACTAATAGGATCAGTACGGTTCTTAAAACACTGGTTAATAGTGTTTTTATATCTGGTTAACATTGGTGCCAATTTTCTCTCGCCAAGTGTTGGTGCCAACGGAAGCAAGGAATTGGCTAGTACTTCACAGATTAATTTCTTGACACTAATTTTTCCTTTTTATTCGAAGCGTGAATTAACTAATTAATATCATTCAACAATCAACGAAATCAAGAAAAGACGTGGAGTAAAAGGAATATATTCGAACAAAAGAGAACTTAATCATAGAAGAGAATGTTTCAAATATTGATAACATCCAAAGTTCTCTGATGTACCTTTTAATTGTCTAAGATATCATATGATTCAGGAAGAAAGTAGGGGTTACCTATAAATACCCTTGGAAGACATAGCTGTTATGAGGTTCCAAATTTTCATTAAACATACCGCCTCTCCTTCACATTAAGGAGTTGAAGAATAATTTGTGTTTACTTTGAATACCTTTTAATAGAAATAAAAGATAAAAAGATAGACTTATTGTGATTGAATTATCAATTAAAGTGAATGGATAATGATATTGTTAAAATAGAAAAAAAAATATTTATATATCTTAAAAAATGAAAAAATGATAATTAATTTTAAATAAATTTAAAATAAAAAATAACAATTATTTTAAAACTGAAGGACTAACTAATAAGGATAAGAGAAAACCTCCTTAAGCTATTGAATAACCTAGCATTACAAGAAGCCATCAACCTTTGGATTGTGGTTTTGGTTTAGAATTTTAAAAAGGGTAATATATTGTTCATATCTTCCTTTCTCTCTCTCTCTACCCACGTTTGTCTCTCTCTAAAATAGTTTTGAAGAGTGGTAGTGTTACAATTTTTGTTTGTTTTGAAGGTATTTTTGTTTTGAAAACTCTAATGCTTTACT